GATGGGTATGCGGGCCAAAGTCAAGATAGTAAGCTGAGATAGATGTCTGGTGGTGCAATGACGCACAGGCTTCAGAATGAGATGGAGTAGCGACTGACGGTAGACGATCTTGGCCGGGGACGGATCCGGACGGGCAACCGATGGTAACCAAGCTCTTGATGGCGGGGTTCGAACGGAGGGGTTTATCTTATCGCAGAGTACCAACGGCGGGTTCTCACTCTGGAGACCCGAGTGCCAAGGAATCTGGACGTGAGACGTAGATAATAAGGATGCGCGTTGAGTTGGGTCGCTTGGACTCAAGTTTCGATCCTGATTAGCTTCGTAGAGTCTTCTGGCGTGAGAGACACTAGGGCGAGATTCCTCGGTGAAGGAGGCGGGAAGGATGCTTCTGCAGCTATGCCGGATCCAAGACGATGGAGTTGACTTGCAGAGGTGGCACCGCAAGGTTAAGGTAAGGTAGGGGTAGAACAGCTGCTGTCGAGGGTTCGGATGCACTAGAAGCTTCTCCGCTTATGAAGTAGCTCTAGAAAGCTGCTTTGAACAGGTCGTGTGATGTTTGGACCGTGGGAAGACGTGGAAAACCGAGTCTGAGCGTTTTGCAAGCTGGAGCGTAGCTATTTCAACCTAAGCACCCAAGATGGGCTAGGTCAGACCGAGCCTCTAGACCACTCTTGTAGGGCAGCGGCTTTGTCCGACTCGAGAACTTAGAGAATGACGGCGTCCACGGTTCCGGGTGCTGGGATTGGAGGTTTGTGCTCGTCTTTGATTGTTTCCGAGTGGAGAACTACTCCAATAAACGCTGCTGCAGCGACAATGACTTCATGGTTCCACGTTGCAATCGCCCACTTTGTCTTTCCTCCACCGAGTGCTTATAGAGTTGGTAGCTAAGCAGCGTTGTCAACATGTTGCGAACTGTGAGGAGCGTGGATGTAGAGCTGGAAATAGCTGTCTCCAAAACAAGGGGACAGGCATTAGGTGTCCCGCAGAGACCGGAGATATAGGGTATCATGGTGCCAGGTCAGAGACAGAGGGGTCCTATCAGGGAACGAACTCATAACACTGTTTCTAAGGCTTTGAGGAATAAGAGCTCAAGGAAAAGCCTTGGTCAACTTACCAATGACTCTTTCTTTTAGTTCTCTCTCTACTCACTCTGAGAAAGAAGAAGCTATTCCAAGAGGCGAGAGGAAGGTACAAAAGATGGCACCATCAAGTTCCCTCTCACCCGTTGAGAAGCTCAAGGTACATCTCGAGGTACAAAGGAAGCCATTGATCTAAGTCTCATCCAATTGCCCGCCGCCGATGTTCCAGTTAGCCGAGGTGGAGCCGGAAGATGCCACGACCTGCCCCGGGCTGGTTCCTTGCTAACATCCCCTCGCAGCACCACTTGTACCCGTAAGACCCCGGCCAGCTCCCGCCTCACTGCTTTCGCAAACCTTCAATTCCTCAGCTCCCCCCAAAGAACCGTAGTAACTTGTAGAATCCCACCTTTGCGACGGAAGCCCTCGACCCCTTCTCCTACTCGACCTTGCCAATCAAGAGGGTCCAGAGTCTCGCTTGAATCCTTGTGTCTTCAATTGTCACTAGAGAGAAAAGGATTCCTTAAGCTGCCCTCGTTCTGCGATTCCCCAAAGAGGTTGGACGAAACTATGGCGACGCGCAGCGACGCGCCCGAAGTGCGCGAGTCCATCGAGGCCAAGGTCACCAAAGATGTCGAAATGACCGACGCACCCGACGCCAGCACCGCCGAAGCCAAGCAACCCGAACCGACTGTCTCTGCGAAACCGGCTGAATCCGACAAAATGGATATTGACGCTGGTGCGAATGCCGACGCCGACGCCGATGCCGACGCAGACGCAGACGCGGACGGTGAAGCGGATGCAGATGGCGACATTGACGTAGATGCAGACGCAGACGCAGACGCGGATGGTGAAGTTGACGCAGACGCTGATGCAGATGGAGATCCAGATGATGGCGTCGCATCCCCCGTGGAATCCGAGCCTGGCGACCTTTTGGATGTCATCCAAACCATCAGCTCAACCGTGAGCAACTACAAGGATGAAGAGTACGTTCGGATCAGGCGCACCCTTTGCCTGTCTTGCTGCTAATTAGTTGTCATCGCAGCGGTGAATGGTGGGCGGCTAGTTTCCAGCGCATCCCGAACAAACGTCAACTGCCAGATTACTTCGAGATTATCGAGAACCCCATCGCCTTCAGCACCATTCGCGTATGTCCTGCCCATTCGTAGAGCCTTGTTGGCACGACACAGAACTGACCCCGAGTAGCACAAGATCCAAAAGAAGCTGTACACAGATTTCCCCGAGTTTGTTCGCGATCTTGCACAGATTTGTCACAATGCGCAGGTGTATAATCGGCCTTCCTCGGCCATCTTTAAGAGTGCCACCGTTATCCGAGATCTTTTCAAGAAGGAGTTGCAGAAACTCGTTGCCAAAGGCACGATCAAGTCTGAAGAGGCAGAGCTTCCCGATTTGGGCGAGCTCCCGCCCGCAGAAGACTCGTCGCCAGAGGCCGAATCCGAAGAGGACGAAGGAGAAGAGGAGGAGGAGGAAGAGGAAGAGGAGGAAGACGACGAGTCCGACGATGACGGAAAACGCCGACGAAGCAGGAGGCGTGGCCGAACTTCGCTCACCAAGCGCCAGCTTGAGGAGGCCCGGGAGGAAGACGAACATAAGAAGCGCGGCCGCCCTCCCAAAGTCTTGACACCGCTCGAGGCGCGTATTCACAACGTCATCAAGGGCCTGCGCAAGTTCCAGTCAGACGACGGTGACTTGCTCATTGGTCCCTTTGAGAAGTTGCCCGATAAGCTTGCGAACCCGGACTATTACCAAGTCATCACCAACCCTATTGCGCTCGACAATATCAAGAGAAATGCCAAGAGGAAGAAATACTCGACTGTCGATGATGCGCTCAAGGATATCGACCTCATGTTCAACAATGCAAAGGAGTACAACGAGGAAGCCAGTGACATTTACGAAGCCGCTGTCGAGCTGCAGAGGCAAGCAGGTGAGCTGGTGGCGCAGGAAAAGTCGAGGCCAGACGATGAATTCCGTGACGAGGATGGCAAACTGCCACTGTCGGAAATTCAGCACAACGGCCAAACATGGCGAGTCGGTAAGTTCTGTTCCCGGTCCCTAGGCTATTCGAAAAGGATGAGTCGGGGTGCTAATATTGTGTAGGCGACTGGGTGCATATTCGTAATGTCAACGACATGGCCAAACCCATTGTCGCGCAAATATTCCGAACTTGGCAAGACCGAGCTGGACAGCGATGGATCAACGCTTGCTGGTACTACCGTCCCGAGCAGACGGTGCACAGGTTCGAGAAGCACTTTTTCGAGAACGAGGTGGCAAAGACGGGCCAGTATCGCGACCACCAGATCGAAGAGGTGCTCGACCGATGCTTCGTCATGTTCGTTACGCGGTTCAATAAAGGACGGCCGCGTACTCTGCCGGCGGATAAGGAGGTGTACGTGTGCGAGTCTCGGTACAACGAGGCAACTTGTAAATTCAACAAGATCAAGACGTGGACGAGCTGCGTGCCTGACGAAGTCCGGGAGAAGGACTACGAGATGAAGCTGTTTGATCAGCCGCGACGGCTCAAGAAGGTGCCCAGCCCGATCAAACACCTCTTGCAGGCGGATGCGAAGGAAACGGATGAGCTCCCGAAACCGACCTGGGGGGCAGCAAACGCACCGCCCATTATTGGTGCCGTGCATCGGCGCCCTCGAGAATCAAACGTGAGTTTGGATGTGATTCATTCTGTTTTCCCTGCTGTTATTCCTTTCGTTTGGTCTATTAGAATGGCCCTGGGCCGGACGGGTGTCGTGCAGGAATACGGTATACACGCTGGAACACCTGCACGAATACCACACATACAGCCTTACCGTGCCGCCTCCTGGATGAAGGAGGTGGACAATTGCCAACCCTCCAACACACCAGCACCAGCACCAGTACACCCTCTCGTCGTCCCTCTCGGTTATGCAGTGCAGGCAGATAAAGGGAGCGACGCGTGTGGGTGGGATAACAACACCCTGCATCCCGTATCAGACGTACTTCGCAGCAGAAATTTGTGCCTTCACCTCTTACTTCACTCCTGCCCTCACTCTTGATCTCATTCTCATTCTCATTCTCATTTTCACCCTTCACCTTTGCTCTGCAAATTTCAAACTCAGCCTCACTTTCACTCTTTTTATCGCGCGTTAGTTTATTTTTCTATCTCTCACAACCTATCTTTCGGGCTTTCACTTGGTCTTCATTTGGTTTTCTCCGTTACTGACAAAATTGACTTTGATCGAACAGGAGTCTCCTCCACCTGAGCCCACGCCTTCTCCGCCGCCCATGATCCAAGAGCCTGTGCGACGGCCTTCAGTTCTTCAGGCGATGCGCCAGACGCCGAGCGACATGTCGATGGGTAATCCTCCCACGCCTTATGGGCACGGAATGGGAGCTGCGCCGTCTCCGTCGCCAGCAATGTATGCTCAGCAGTACACGCCTCAGCATGCTTCGGCATCGCCAGTCGCGGTGAACCATCAAACGCCGGTGCCTCTACCCCAACTTCCTCACCAGGCGTCTCACTCTCCGCAGCAGCCCATCCGCCCCATGTACCAGCAGCAAGGATTTGCGCCAAGCCCGTTCCAGCACCAGCAGCACCCACAGCACCATCAGCAGCAGCAACAGCACCATCCCCACCACGCACCACAGCACATGCACCCTCAGCAGCAGCAGCACCACCAAGGCCCGCCCCCTCCAGCACCTCAGTTCCAGCAGCACCACCTCCCGCCGCACCAACAGCAACAGCACCACCACCATCAGGCCCAAGCGCCGGTCCCACAGCAGCACCAGCACCAGCAACAGCACGGCCACCACCAAATGCATCCACAAATGATGCCAGCAAATCCCATGGGCGGCCCGACCTACAACCATCATCAAATGCAGCCTCATCCCGCTGCAGCCCGCACCCCCATGGCCAACACGCCCAATGCCATGCAGCCCGCCAATGCCTACAACCCTCCTAGGCCTCCCGAGGTTTTTACCCTGGCCGAATCCCTCAACGACCAGATCCCCGAAGAGGTGCGCAGCCAGTACAACAGGGACGAGAACGGCAGAATCTTTTTCTACTCCACACCGCCCATCGCCCGCCCCGAACACGGCCTCGCCCCAGACAATGCCAACTCGGGCCACAGCCTCGCCTACCTTGCTAAGAGCAACCCGCAATGGCTGGCCGAACGCGCCTCCCGCGCAAAGCCTTTTGCCGTCGCCAAGCAGAAGGAGTTGAAGGTCAAGATGGCCCTCGACAAGGTCACCGAACCCGCCAAGGGCAAGACGGGTGATGAGCTTCGCGACTGGGCCGCCGACTCTCTGGTCCGCTACGTCGAGGCGCACGCCCAGGAGACGTCGCGCATGCGAGAAGAGGGCGATCTGGACGGTCACGACCGCCTCATGAAGGAGCAGCGCGCAGCGCGCCGCAAGAAGACGAGAAAGGAGCTGGAAGAGGAGGAGGAGCGAGCCGACGAGGCGAAGCGTGCCAATTACCTCGAAGACATTTACTTTGTCCACTCCAGTCTGCGCACGCCCAAGCCTGCTCACTGATCGAAGCATCAAGCAATTCAATGTGTATTCTAGTCGACACCATCCCTGCTTCTCTCTGTCCCTTGGATGCAAGCTTGTAATTGAAGGGCCTTGGGTAAGGCAGGGAGGATTCGATCTCCTGGGTAGAAAGGGAGCGGAGTTTTTTTCGGCGGGTCGGACTGCTGTGATACCTATTGGCTTTTTTGGAGTTTTGAGGGGAAAACGAAATGGCTCACTGTATCAAAAGGATTATCATCGTCAGGGCATCATGAGACGATATTCATGATGCCTGTTCAAGTACCTAATTTGCACAATTGAGATGAGCAGTATTCAGAGATCCCGTTGTTTTCAGGTGTGTTTTACCATCATTGCCCTTGATGAATTTCATATCTACACAGGAACTGTTGATGAAAGGCCTCATTCCATGATGACTTGGTGTCTATTTATGAGTAGTGATCCAGGTGCGTTCTGCCACGATTCAATCTGAGTACCTAGGTAGCTGATACCAAATCATACTGAATCCATCAGCGATACGCCGAACCACACATTTTGGTAATCTTCATCACCATGCACCCTCCAACCCCGAAGCCTTTGAAGGGAGTAAGACATCTTAAAATGACAAGACAAAAGGCTGATCTGGCAGACTAAGCTCTTTGAGTGGCTGGCGGGCTGTACCTGCGCCGTCGAGGGAGCGGCCCGGCCGAGTTCCTCCGGTCACTTACTGTACGCAGTCACGGCAGTATGGAAACCTGTGCTTCTTTGGCAGTTTTTTGCCTCAGGACCCTTGCCCCATAGTCAACACGTCTTTGCACCAATCACACGCAATGAGACACAAGCTCTCCAGTGCATCGAACCCGACAGGCCAGAGCTGGACCCGACCAGGGGGTACTAGCGTAGATCTGATTCGCCCCCCAAAGTCATGTGCCAGGTTGTGTGACTCTACCGCTGAATCTTGAGTGAGATGCTTAGCATTTAGATGTTCTACTTCTGATGAGATCTCAACATGGAAAGTCGCCAATTACACCAGATGAGAGGTATTAATCTCTATATGATCGTTCCTACTCCCATAGTGTTTTAAAACTCATAAATAACGTGAAACTGAGACGGTGCTCCTCAATATATGAGTCTCGAATGTTAGTGTAATGAATAAAGTACCCAGTCCCGCCCATCCAACCCGAGCGGACGTTTGTGCCCGTGTGCCGCCCACTTTACACCCTGAGCCACCAGAGATCGGACCCTTTTCTTTGGGCGAACCGATTCGCGTGGTGAGGGGCAAATGCAGCGCAGCACGCTAATTGAGCCTCGCTCTGCCCAAAGGCGGCTAGGATTGAATGATTCGCTGACGTTCTCGATTCTTAGTTCCGACTACATCTCTCTCACCTCTCCTTACTCTTACTCATAACCGCCTTTGCGCCTTCTTACTTTCGACTTCACCTCTCACCTCTCATTTCTCTCTCTCAACCCGCGAGTTCACGAACTTCATCACCCTCTAAACCCCGAGGAAACCGACACACACGCCCGCATCCGATTCGCCATATTGCTCATCCGCCCAACCTACCATCTCTTTACCGTTCGTCTATCCCCTTTAGCTGATTAAAGCATTCCGTTTGTGGCGAGTTCATCCATCAAGTCTTGAACCGTTCTTCTTGTCGTCGGACCGAGGACTTTTTGAATTTCGTTTTCGCAAACTCTTTGCTTTCTCTTTCTTTTTACCTTGCTGTGCTTGTACTCTGTCATCTTAGTTTGAGCCATCCGCGAATTTCCCGGCGTTTATTCTGCATAGCCCCGTCCTTGTTCTTCTTGGGTGGCGTCGGCGTTCCGTGCGGGTAGTAGGAGGACTTTTACGACTTGACGGCTCCGATACATCCACGGCTCACTTTGGCTGTTTCCCCTGAACCTTGCTTTCGGTTACTCTTCTGGTTGGGATACCTGGTTACGTCGGGTTCTTCATTGGGTGTCAGTTGAAGGGTCCAAGCCGAAATCGACTCGAGGCTATCGACAACAAAGCATCGTTACTATTCGACACAACGACCGGCATTTTTTTCTCTCTGCACTTCCAGCAACCTGGGAATCATAACAACTCGGCCGTCCAAGATCTGCGGCAGCCTCCAAACCTCGAAATCAAGAGTGTACTTGGGCCAGCCAGGCCAGTAACAAAGACTAAGTCGACAACTGGGTCGCCACCTATCCAATATCAGATCGAAACTATTCTCCGTCCTTCTCTCCTCGACCTGTTCGGCCAAGATATACGGCTCCTCGAAACTCTGAAGCCAAGGTTGAGCCAGATACCTGAGGCTCTTATCGTGAGCTTTGGCTAGAGAGAACCCGGTCTGGTTCTCGATCAACAATTACGGCCAGCTTAAGGTGGTCGTTCAGGGCAGAGTTTGCTATCTCCGATGAGTATCACGGTTTCCACGGTTGATCCCGCACTCGCCAAACCCAATTGCCTCCCGTCACGGCCCAGGAGCTTGGTCATAATATCCAACCTTGATCCTCTTTTTGGGATTCCTAGAGGGTTCCCGGTACCTTGACTATCACCAAGGGCTTCCAAGAAGGTTCCCGGCACCTTGACTATCACAAACATACTTCGAGTATCATTCGGATACAGATAACTTGCTCAGAGACACCACAAGGGTTCCCGTCGTCGTCTTCATCTCCAGCACTATAAGATGGACTCCCCAATCCCTTCTCTGCAGTCCTCGGACCTAGCAGGAACATCTCACTCATCTTCTTCATCTCCTACACAACCACCTACTTCCCTAGGAGATTTTAGCAAGCTGTTTGAGAATCTGCGAGTTCACGAGACTTCTACCTCATCTACACGTATTCTCTCTTCGCCAGACAGAGTCTACTCTTCTTCTTTACATTGCTTTGAGCCTCTTTGCAAGTCAGAGAGTCCCTCAAGCAAACAGTCTCAGCCACTTCTTCTCCTCCCTCTCATATTCACCACAGAAGAAATGGCCAGAACTGGCACCAAGCGGAACTACCAGTCCTTAGACTTGGCCGAGGTTAAAAGGCCAAAGGTCGAGCCCAAGGACAAGAAGCCTGCCGTCGCTGCCGCTGCCGCCGCCATCGCTGTCGGAATGGTAGCTCGGGCCTCTTCAGACTCGGGCTACCATTCCGACTCGTCCGCCGCCGCCGCCGCCGACAACGACAACGCGGGAGAAAGGCTCTTCAACAAGCAGACCGCCAAGAGACCTCCTCCCAGCTCCCAGCTCCCCTTGGCCGCCCGTCTGCAGCAGCGCTTCGGAGCTCGCGACGAGTCCTTGGCCCTGGCTTACCCGGAGCAATGCGCCCGCGGTCTCTACATCTACGCCGACGGCTCCAACATCTCCGTGTCCTTCTTCAACGACCTGAAGAAGCGCATGGGCATGTCCAGGGACCAGCGCCTCTCAACCTCCGCCTTCTCCTTCCACGCATTCAGGGGAATACTCGAACGAGGCAGAGAGGTCAAGCAGGGCGTGATTGTCGGCTCCCGTAACAACAAGGCCGGCAACAACAGGTCCTCCTCCTCCCCTTCCTCCATCCCCCTGTACCTGCAGGAGGCCGAGGCGTGTGATTACACCGCCAAGGTCCTTCAGCGGGTACCCGCAGACAACTCCTCGTCTGCGGGCTCCTTCGCGATGAAGGAGCAGGGGGTCGACGAGACGGTCCAGCACCACATGCGCAAGGCCGTCCTCGACAACCTCGGTGCCCCCGGCGTCATGATCCTCGCTACGGGCGACGGCAACCTCGACGGCGACATGGAGGGAGGCTTCCCCGCCGCCGTGCAGTCGGCTCTCGCCAATGGCTGGGTGGTCGAGGTCTACCACTTCGCCGAGTCCGCCCACTCCACCTGGCGCGATCCGCGGTTCCTCCACAACCCGGAATGGGATGGCCGCCTCACATGTCACGCGCTCGACGACTTCGTCTTTGACATGGATGCCAAGCAACAAACGGTCACTCCGCTCGGAGCTGAGGTGCCTCGTACTGCAAAGAGGACCAGACGCGAGAGCCGGCCGGCTTACGTGCCGTCTTGGACCCTGCCACCTACTCAACGGGCAGCCTCCTCCGTCACTCTTCCCCCGGCAGCGGCAGCAGCGGCAGCAGTCACTCCCCCGCCAAGTCCTCCTTTGGAGATGGCACCCGCGAATCCAGAGGAGATGGCCCAGGCCGGACAGATAGCCGAGTTGGTGGGCAAGCTGAAGCCGGAGTTGATACCCGTCATCGCCGCCTCCCTCCTCCGCGCCGCCTCGGCCACTCCTCCTGCTGCTCCTGCTCCCGCCCCTGCTCCCGCGCGTATTCCTTCCGCATCACGCGGGGACGCTAGTGGCTTCGCCGGCGGTGCGATGGGCTACTTCGGAGCCCAGGTCCCCTCTCCGCCCGCCCTCTCCGCCTTCCCCCAGACCTACCCCCTCCAGTACCCCCAAGCCACCTCCTACACGGCGGCCTTGGGCCAGTACCAGTACAACGGGGTCTGGGGGAACCAGGTGGGCTACTACGGGCACACCGGCTGAGTCATTGCGACCAGCCTTTTTTTAAACCCTCATCTCTTCTCTTCCCTTCTTCAGACCCCTTCTCTGTCGTCTTTGCTCTGCGCTTGCTCAGCCGAAAGGCAGCAACCAGATAGATTTCACAGCTTAGGGAAAGGGGAAGGGCAAGACCGGTATATGGGAGGGGTTCGCAGGCCTGAAAGACGGCTATGGCCCCGTGGATATTTGGGATGGTATATGGGAGGGGTACGCAGGCCTGAAAGACGGTTCTGACCCCGAGGATGCTTTGGGTCGCCTTCGGGCACAATTTTTTGGCCTTCGGGCAAGCCTTCGGGCAACTTAACTTAGGTATATGGGAGGGGTAGCAGGTCTGAAAGACGGCCTGGCCCCGGGGATTCATGGGATTGGTATATGAGAGGGGGACAGGTGCCTGAAATATGGCCCTGTTCCCCGTGGATTTCGGGAGGGAGAAGTGGGTAGTTGGGAGTTTTTTGAACGCGATACTTTTTTGAGTATGACGTTTTTCTCCCGGTGCTGGTGAGCATAAAA